TTTTCATTGTTCTTTTTTAAAGACCTCAGCTGCTCCTGAAAATGGCATATTAAATTACAAAGAAACAATGGCCAGAAGTTTCTACCACATTTAAACTTTGTGAATTTAACAGGTCATCACACTGGAAAAATAAAACTAACACTTCAGTAAAAAAAAAAAAAAATGCCTGCAAGCAGGTGCAGGTGCTGGGGATTTGATCCCCAGGCCTGCCTTGCTGGCTCTGACCCTGGGGCACACTGAGATGGCAATGGAGACTGGGCATGGTGGCATGTACCTGTAAACCCAACTCTTGGGAGGCTGTAAACAAGTGTACCACTACAAGCCTGATCTAATAGTGAAACCCTGAACATCCTGTAGACCCTTCTTTAAAATAGAAATAAATAAATAAATAAATAAAATAAGAGTGCTACTTATTTTTAGATATTGTGTATGTATTAGACTTTCTTAATAGTTCTAACAATTTAATATTCTCTTAAATTTTCTTTGTTTATCTTATTTAAAGTAACGTAAGGTGGCACTGGGATTACAGGCATATGCCACCATGCCCAGTTTTGTTGGCCAGCATGGCATGCAGTGCCAGTAATCAAACCTGGGTACTTGGGCTTGTGCTTAGACCACCACACTATCTCCCCAACCCTCATTTAAGTTTTCTGCATTGATAATCACATTGTTTTTTTTTTTTTCAGTACCAAGGATGGATCTCAGGACTTTGTGCTTGCCAGGCAGGTGCTTATTCTACTGAGCTATCTCCCCAGACTGGTAATCACATTGTGAATAATGATAATTTATTAATATCATATACACATGTTTTTAAACAGACTTTGTTTTTTAGAGCAGTATTGGGCTTTCAGCAAAGTTGAGTGGAAATTAAAGTCCCACAGATACTCTCACTAACAATGTCCCTCAATAGTGGTTGCAGCCCATGAACTTACCTTGACACATCATTAGCACATAAAGTCTGTAATTGTGTTATGCACACTCTTGGTGCTGTAGATTATGTCTGGACAAATGTGTAATAACATGTATCTACCAGTGTAGTATCACAGAGAGTAGCTTTGTTACTGGAGTCCTAAGCCAGGCAAATCAGTACTGTTTATTTTCCCCCAAAACCAAATGGAAAAATAATGGAGAAAACCAGGAAAGGAACTTTACTCAGGATTGCTGTGCAGGGAAGACATAGGGACCAAATCCTTACCCCAGTCTTTGGGAGGTTAAAGAGAACTCCAAGATTATATAAGGGTGGGGAAAGAATTACGCATATTATGCAGGTTTGGTCAAAATGTCGTCTGGTTGATCACCTCAGGATGATCAGGCAGGGCCTTGTCAGTAACAAGCAAGTTACTGTTGTCTGTGGGTGTAGTTTGAGTTTTGTTCCAAGATAGTTATCTGTCAGATCTGTTGTTCTTGAAATCCAAAGAGATGTAGAAAATGATTCAGAGAAAGAACAGTCAGAATGAAAGCAGAAATGGCAAACTTTTTATCCTATCTTTAGTAACCCACTGGGCCTCTGTATCTAGAAGTGGAGTGTCAGTGCTTTTTAGCAAAAGCAGCCTCTAAGCGCTTGTTACAGTTTCATTGGCCTAAATGTCCTTTGTTCAGAGGCAGGAAGATTGCAAGTACCAGGCCAGCCTGGAAACTTAATAAGATCTTGTCTAAAAAAAGCAAGGAGGGGGTTGGGATATAGCTCAGTAAGGTCCTGGGTTCAATCTCCAGTCACCCCCCCCCACCCATTGCTTGCTTTGCTTAGCATTGCCCACTCCTCCCTAAGCCTTGGCATCCATATGTCCTTTCGCTTTCTCCAAAGTCTTAGCTTTTGGATAGGCTCATACAGCTGGCATTGTCTAGTGTGCGGTTTTCCAATTGGTTTTTTCATTTAGTCATATGTGTTTAAGGCTTCTTCTTGTTTCTCATGGCCATTTCTTTTTAGCACTGAGTAGTAGTCTGTTTCCATGTTGTACTATCTGCTCATTCATCTACTGAAGGACATGTTGGCTGCTTCTAAGTTTTTTTTTCCATAATTTTATTGAGAAACAAATAGCAATGAGACAGTTTCAAATCAAATTGGTAGGACAGTTTCCATAATTAGCACATTGCATACTGTCTTCCTAGCGGTTAATTGCTGTGCAAGATGCAGACATGATACCCTATTTACAAATGCTATTAGAACAAATCCCTCTGTTCATTAAGAGAATGTAACTATATATCTATTCTAACCACTTTGAATACACAGATACAAAAAATATGGAACGCTTCACTTGTGTGTCATCCTTGTGCAGGGGCCGTGCTAATTTCTCTATATCTTTCCAATGTTAGTATATGTGCTGCTGAAGTGAGCACTTCTAAGTTTTGACAAGTATGAATTACATAATAATTTTGTGCATATGTGAAACACATATAATTATATATTTACATATATTTGTTTTATAGTTTCCAGTTGATAGCACTTTCATTTTATTTTATTTTTTTACATTGATCTACCCCATCAGGAAATAT